AACGCCCCAAATTTGAAGGAAGTAGCAAGAAGATTCAAATGCCCTTAAATTTGAAAATTTAACACTGTAAGCATCAGCATCCTCCGCGGTAACTGTGAGAACAGTGGGGTTTCAAGTATAAATGCAGCTTAAAATGAATGAGTGTGTTTTTCTTCAGCTGCGGTTAGTAACATTTAAGCAAACCCATAGCGACCTGTGAACATTCGAATCAGCAACTCCAATGATCTTATCAAAATTATATTAAAGGTTCATGCTGAAATGAATGTAATGAATATACAACTACTCCCATGCACTTTGGAACTTGCGCAAATATCGACCAGTGGTTTTGAATCCCGGGTGTGGAGTGATTGTGAACCTTGATTTGAAAGCATGATACATTTACTCGTAACAGAGATGGTAAACCTGCGTCATTGTGGGAGGACATCCTACAATTTGAAATAGCTGTCTATATTTCTTCTGCTGGCGTACTCGCTCACACACCCAGGCCCATCTTGCCACCACCCACCATACAAATCCAAGAGTGACCACGCACATGATTGTGAGTTTCGCACTATAATGACTCCGCTCGCTATGCATGGTTCATTCCCATTATGACTACACCCAGTTTGTCTACCCGTCCAATACACAACCTGTTCCAGTCTCTCCCCTCCATCAGGTAGACTGTTCCACTAACACTTATAAACTGGTTTATTATTGTGATATCTGATGGTACAATTAATTGTACCAGGTTCATACAATATTTATTTCGTCAAAGCAGAAGCCTGAATAGGCGAACAAGTGGCTTATATAAACGCCGCTCCAGTACATTGTTCAAATAGCTGGATACATAAATGAAATAATTTGACAACAAAAGAATAATACTGATTCAAAATAACAGATAAATGATTGAATAAAAAATATTTTCGATATGGTGTTTGTTATGCCTAGCAACGAAATGAGCTGCTGCAGAAAATCAAGTTATATAAAACTTGTCTTACATTGAATATATAATTATTTAAAGGTGATAATCACTGGAAGGGTTACTTTTAGAAATGAACTGGTGTAATGAGTTGAGAATGTCACTATTTGTTGAGTTAACCAATGCACTGTTATCGTATAAAGTAGTTTTAACATCGTATCCTTGAATATGAAAATACACACTTGTTCTGAAATTTTGTTAGTTCTGACATGTAAACAGGTAGTGAATAATGTCTTCGTTATAATGACCAAATAAACACTTAGATGTGTCCGATATATGTCGATTATATCTGTCTGCGTTTAGATCACTACAGCCGAGCTTGAGGCGACAATAGATGATTTGACAAAATCTAGTCCTAAAATTTAAATCAAAGTAATTGCGAGTTTCTCTTGGGTTTATCATGGTTTTAAATTGATTCAGGTAAATAGCGTTAACAGCACCATCGGGCAATAAATTCCACGACATAATCGCACTCGGTAAAAATGATTGAGAATACGTTTGCGTTCTACAGTTAATATTTTGAATGGAAGTTGGGATTATGTCCAATTTTCAAAACAAACAACCTGTACTATAAGTTTACAAAGTTTTAATCCAAATATCAAAACAAACAATGAATGATCACAAGATCCCCATTCACTTGGCTTCTAAACATTATAGGTAGGCCCTGGGAGTCTCTGTGATTATTTCAAAGAGTAGACAAACTGGGAGTAATCAGCTATACAGGTACAGTACATTATTAAGTGTAGGGGTGCTCCATTATATGTTTATGTTCATGAGTAGTCAAACTGGGAGTAGTCATAATGTTAAGATACCTGATCAATTATCTATTTCAGTAGTGAATGATTTTTGGCCGATTGTTTTGCAGCATACCAGAAATGTCACGACGGAGACACCCAGATTCGGGTGCACACACACAATCATTCAAACATTTGGTGAATTGGTCCGACTTGTAACCGTCACGGATGACAGACGATTTACAGAACCAGTGCTATCAGTATTGTGTTGGAAAGGGGGCAGGGATGGATGCATAATACACATGTTGAACGATCACTATAAAACTGAACAATACACTAATACACACATGGTCCTAAACACAAGCGGGATCCAGGATATGTGAAGTTCATGAATTGTGTGATAAACTGTGCTCAGATAATGTGCCCTCAGCAAGGGTACTGAGTGGTATACATGCCCACTTTATTACTGTTATAAGATGACAGGCAGAAGAAAGTATACACTTTAATACTAGATTTGACCAGACTTTACATAGGTTGTCCAAGCTGTACTAGGCTGAAACCATCGGCAGAAACTTCTATGATTGGCATTTTAGAAGTTGGTGAGAGGAAGAATGAGGGCAATTTTTATGGATATGCAACTTCTTTATTCTGTATAGGCGACGTTTCGACATAGATTGACAACGACATTATAACCTATGTCGAATTCTGAGATACAGAATAAAGAAGTTGTACATCCATAAAAAACTGTCCTCATTCTTCATCGGCAGAAAATACAGTAAAATATCGATTAACCATTTCTTGTTTGTTCCATATTGACCACTATAATGGGTATAAACTCTTTTGTTTCCCCGTTGGTTTCGATTCCAATCCAAGTACTTGTATTACTTATAAATAATAGCCTAATATAGGAGATCACGTGAGATCTTCCACGCTCCAGAGGATCCGTCGCAGCTGCATTCATACTTTAGTTGAGAACAGTAGATGCGCTTAACTTTTTCAAATGAATGGTTGCATTGTTAGCTATGTATTCACATTCTCTTTTTCGGTTACCTCATTGAGTTAGTGTTCCCGTAAACATCTCAACAATTCCCTCATCATATCTTTGTATTACAATACATACAAGGGTAGGTGTGGTGGGATAGTCCAGTGGCGTTCGTTCGCCCGGGTTCGATTCCAGACATGGGTACGATATATGAAGTACATTTCTGATAATCCCGGGTATCATATTGCTGGAATCTTGCTAAAAGGGTCAGCTGTATGTAATGGCTTGTAGTGAGTGAGCGAATTTAGTTTTACGCCGCAATCAGCAATATTCCAGCTATATGACGGCGGTCTGTAAATAATTGAGTCTGGACCAGGCAATCCAGTGATCAACAGCATAAGCATCGATCTGCGAAATTGGGAACCGATGACATGTGTCAACCAAGTCATCGAGCCTGACCACCCGATCCCGTTAGTCGTCTCTTACGACAAGCATGGGTTACTGAAGATCAATCATACATGCTCCAAACATGTTACACCCGTAATGACTTGTATGTAACATGTTTACAACGCGTATTTGTGTTTGTGACATACCTGTGCATATGTCAGTGGTGTAGTTTGGCTTATAGTTCTTTTAATCATTTGCTTCATATGCAGCAGTGCATGTATGCATGTATGCATGTATGTATGTATGTATGTATGTATGTATGTATGTATGTATGTATGTATGTATGTATGTATGTATGTATGTATGTATGTATGTATGTATGTATGTATGTATGTATTTATTTTATATTTTTTTATTTATTTATTTATTTATTTTATTTATTATTATTTTTATTATTACACACACACACACACACACACACATATATATATATATATATATATATATTTTATTTTTGGGGGGATGTGTGTTATAATATCGCTTTCATACGATCTTTTCAACTGAAAAAATGATGGAATCAGTTGAGGGGAACAGTTTCTTTGATCCTCAGTTTAGGTCATGCTTTATCCTTGCTGTTTCAAATTTCACATCTTTGAAAATAAAAGTCAAGTTTGAGGCCAAGTTTGAAAACATTAGTAATATATGGGGGCATTGATGTCCATACCTCAGGCATATGGTCGCGCAAATGTAAGACGTTAATATTTTCTTTATTTTCATAAAATGTCTCTGTCCAGATGTCAACTTTTGTCAATGTCGATCGACTGCGAACACCATGAAACTTTTTAAGTCATACTTACTGTTGAATAAAGTTGAAAAGCTGTAGAAATATGGTAACCAACCTTTAGTGTTGGAGATCCCTTTTAGGTTGTGCGTGGTGTATTTTCTGAACGTTGCCTTCAGTTACATAGTACAGGTATATAACATGTGGAAAGATATCTAAATTCTGATATTCCTTTACATCTCAGATCTGCACTGTCGAAATTTAGATGTGGTAATTTTAATTTAGCAGTTGAAACTGGAAGATACAATAAAGTTAATTACAATGAGAGATTATTTTTATTTTGTAAATTGAATGACAAAAATGTTATTGAAGATGAATTCCATGTACTCCTTAATTGTGAACGTTTTTCTGATTTAAAGTTGAGATATATTCAGAAATATTTGACTGATTCTGATCCAAATGCCAATTTTATTAACATTACGAAAACAAATAATGATTGTATCATAAGATATGTTTCTGTATCATGTAGTTCAGCACATTAGAAATGTTCCTCTTACACAGCATGTGCACTAAACTATCTATATCATATGCAAATGACTGTATGATGGGCCTGTGGCCTTTTACTGAATAAACTTGTCTGTCTGTTTGTCTGTCTGTATATAACCTATTTAATTGTCGTGGACATGTATTAGGTAATTGATATTGTAAATACTTTTCGATGAGAGCCGTAGCCACTGAAAATTTCAAAGTTACAGATTATACTTTACACACTGAATAAGTAATGGTTAAATACACATAATAAAATTTCCAAACAGTTTTGTAAAATGTTCAATGAAAAAAACTTATACCCTCTTTTAACCCACCATGTTACGACTCCACTGTTGATTCTAACAACTCGGTGACAGTTTGGCCTACTTTTGGGTGGGATCGGGTGTCAGGAGATTACTGATAGTGCATTACCCGTGTCGCGTTCACAGATCCCAATCCCAACAAAACAAACCTCGAGGCTATAACCGATGTCTTTAATTCGTGATAAGAACAGGACATTGATAAATACGGTAAAACCACGTTGACTGAAGATGAAATCAGCTCTGAATACCCATCTTGAAAACTCGAATCAAGGAAGACCGATCATAAATACATACATTTTATACGTACCTGGAAAATATCTGCAGATGTAAGTTATACGTGTGGTGTCCTGCAAGGTACGTATGGATCCCACCACATGTTAGTGTAATCCTCTTCACTGTGAAAACGCTGAAAAACACAGCTCGAGTTGTCAGAGACCCATCCTGTCTGCTGAGGGAGACCGGTTCATTCTCAACCAACGAAGCGTGTGACAAACATCCCATTCAAACAGGGCCACGTACTTCACTGGCAAGGGCAATATGGCTTCCAGTTTGAGACAGCCAACGCCCAACAGAACACCACCCGCGTGACCTCTTGACCCACGTTAAACTCTCGAACTTACTGTGAGAATAGTTAATAAAGTCCACTTTAAACCTTTCTGCCTTAAAACAACCAATAGAAACATTATTTTAGGCACACAAAGCATTGCTTACTCAAATACCGCTACAGGAAAAACATATTACTGGTAAATATATATAGACACGTTTATACTGAATACATGTACGCATGTATAATACATAAAACCTATCTGTAATCGTGTTAGTGGTGTTCTAGATGAGGAATGCAGCATCCCTAAAGTAAAGTTTTGTGTGAACATATTTTTATTTCTGAAGAAATCTGGATCGGAAAACTTGTTTCTGTAAATACCTGGCCAGGGCATGAGTTAACTAATGCTGGTTTTGTACACAATGGTGTTGACCTGCGCGATGTAACCATATATCTGGTCCCTTCTTCAATCCAGGATACCCGAGGATCACACGCGTGACACAGTGAGCCAATCAACGCCGAGTACTGTGAACGGGTCGTCCATGCTGCATATGTACATCAGGCTTGTCTTCTGTCCCGTGTAATGTTTTCTGTGTTGGTCACCATTGGCGGATCCCTTTTGAAAATGACTAAAGACCAGATTGAAGATTTTTTTTGCGTTAGCGGAGCCAATGGGGGCGTTTGAACCCCCTGAACCCTCCCCTTTCAAAATTCCTGGATCCGCCCATGGTCACCGCCTGTGATTGTTATCCCAGTTTACTGAAATCAAAAAATAAAATAGTGCTATTTTCCTTTATAAATGCACGGAATTACAACTGCTCAAATCGTTTGCTTCTGACAAAGATGTCGTGATGTAGAGAATGTTTGTAGAAGTACTGACAGACCTATGATCATTTAGATCATACTGTTGCATGTGAAGATACATATTCCTTCTGATACTGGATAGAAAAAATAGTTGCATCTTCAAAATTATTCCCACGGGTCCAGTCTGGTGTGTTTAATTCTAAACATCATTGCAAAACATTTTATATCACTCATCTCAAACTTTGAAATCTAAAAGAAATTATACAGAGCACCAAAAACATACAATAGCTAAATCACAAAACCTTTATGTCAGAAGACAACCAACTATAGTGTGTTGAATGACGAATGGGTTGTCCTTCCTTGACTAACTTTGCTGCTGCAATCATCGCTGCTGTTGTTCTTTTCAAACTTTGTTACTGCCTATATATACTAGGCACATAAAGAAACTGTGCATACAAAAATTTAAAATCTAAATCTATCAAACCTGTGTAGACACATACGGATTTAAACTCATAGTTAGATACTAGGCACATAAAGAAACTGTGCATACAAAAATTTAAAATCTAAATCTATCAAACCTGTGTAGACACATAAGGATTTAAACTCATAGATTAGTGACATGTATCCAACATGCATGCACGTGCCACGTTCCGTGATGTCAGTGGGTTCGTCCTTGAGACGTGCAATACGTTGTTGCACGTGCATTCCGGTTCGTCCTTGAGACGTGCAATACGTTGTTGCACGTGCATTTCCGAGCAAATGAATGCCACACAATACTGTCACTTTGAAAAGGTCAACCCCTGCCCTTGCGATCGTTCAAAACATTTAACGGCTATTGAAACGCATAGCATGCTAAGGCTCACGTCTGCACAACGTCGTGAGGCCATTGGGATGGTCCGTGGGGGAATGTCTCAACGACAAGTGGCTGCACATTTCCACTGCCACCGGAACACCATTTCTGCACTGGTGAGACGCTACCAGAACACAAATGACGTCATCGATCGGCCACGTTCTGGACGTCCACGTGTAACAACGCCAAGACAGAGAGATGGATAAGGTTGACCCATCTTCGCCACAGGTTTCAGACTGCAGTGATGACTGCCCGAACCATCACAGGACTTCGCCGTATCCACCCCAACACAGTTCGACAATGTTTACGTCATCACGGGATCAGACCACGACGTCCCGCCATACGGCCTATCCTGACACGTCGTCATCGACAAGCTCGCCGAATGTGGTGCCGAAATCATGTCCGCAGACCCTTGTTTTAGTGGAGAAATGTTGTTTTTACAGATGAGTCCAGGTTTAACATTTCTCATAGTGATGGACGTCAACGTGCCTATAGACGCGTGGGAGAACGTTATGAACAGGCCTGTGTCTTGGAGAGGAATCGCTTTGGTGGTGGTTCCGTGATGTTTTGGGGTGGAATAACAGCACGCCAAAGAACTCCTTTGGTGATTGTTCAGGGCAACTTAACTCAAAGGGTGTGGGCTACAGGGATCAGATTCTTCGACCTGTGGCAATTCCTTTTCTGCAACGTCATGGCCCTGGGTTAACATTCCAACAGGACAATGCCCGCCCTCATACGGCAAGGGTTGCTATGGATTTCTTGCAACACCACAACGTTGACTTACTGCCTTGGCCTGCAAATTCACCGGATCTCTTCCCGATAGAGCATGTTTGGGACGAGATGGATCAACGTCTACGCCGTCTTCCTCATCCGCCAGATAACGTCCTTGACCTTGCAACAGAACTTGAGAGAATCTGGCGTGACATCCCACAAGCCTTCCTTGCACGTTTGATAGGCTCTATGCGTCGTCGATGTACTGCTGTTATCAATGCCGATGGTGGACATACCCGTTATTGAGCTTGTGACATGGTCGTTTGACCCCTGTCCCGCTTGTGGACTCGTGACGTCATTGTGATTGACTTTTCAATTGAAATTCTCCCGACTTGTTATGGTCTCATGATCCCTCCATTAAAGTTTATATGTACCTTTGACATTGATATCGTATTTATCAACTGGGATAATATTTTGACAATGCACAGTTTCTTTATGTGGCTAGTATATATCTGTGGGGCGGTAGGGTATAGTCTAGTGGTTAAAGCGTTCGCTCGTCATGCCGAACACTCGGGTGCGATTCCCCACAATTGTACAATGTGTAAAACCCATTATGGTGTCCCCGGCGTGATATTGCTGGAGTATTGCTTAAAGCGGGGTAAAACTAAAACTCACTCACTCACTGTATATTCTGACGTTACTGGTTACATCTTGATCGTGCCTGGTTTGTATAGGTAAATGCTGATTTGATGTCTGTACACCTGCACTTCATGCGACGCCCCATCTACTGCTTAAAATACATGGTACACTTAAACTGTCTCAGTACAGCGATATTTGACGTCTTACACTCTACCGCGTCCATGCTGCACTGTCAAGGAAAAAGTGCATTACCGCCTGTCAAGGAGATAATTTACAACCAGTGAACATGGGTAAAAGGGTTTATGTGACGCCATAAACACCATCAATGGTTTTCATAGAAAGGGTTGGGGGAGAAATGTCAATGTATATGAGATTTGTTCACGGAAGCGTCTGTGATGGCATTTTGCTCAGTTAGGTCAATGCAACAGTACGGACCCGTGTACATGAACAGCAGAACATCAATGGGTTAGCATGATGACATGACAGCTCGGTTGTTATCGTCTTTCAACATTAATGCAAATCCTGCATTTCGTCCTTTCGCGTTTTGTAATTGTGTTACGTATTGCAAATATATCACAAATTTCGTCATTATGGTGTTAAAAGTTTACCTTTAGGTTATGGGTGAGTTGCGTTTTAGCAATATTCCAGCAATATCACGGCGGGGGGTCACCAGAAATGGGCCAAAGGTTACACCATATTCACAACCATAAAGAAAGATGTTCAGTTGTTTAATTAAAAATGTTCCGAGCGTGATTATTTGTGTGTCTATGTATTGAAGATCCGGTGTGATGGCAAATGTTGAGAAAGAAATACATTTACCTGTATCTTGAGGTGGTCTATCACCCGAATAAACATTACTGCACATGTTCAAACGCATCATCAATTCTTGGGCCACGCATATATCTAGTTACAAACTCAAGCGTAATTCTAGAAATTTCAATTATATTTCAATACTTAAAAATACTTTGATTGACATGCCGGGGGATAAAAATCTATACTCTTCTGGCTGGAAATACGAGGATAATACTTGTTTACAAGATGTAGTAACTCCAACTTTAAGTGACCATCTAAGATATTGACATGGAAGAAATAACATTTGCTGTTAAAAATATGAAATATAACAAAAGTCCTGGAGTAGATGGATTTCCAATAGATATCTTTAAATATTTTGGAAAGACCTTAACTATTGGATCTATAGATTTATTAAAAATATTTTTGAGAAGAATCAAATATCTTTTACATTGAAAAGAGGTGTCATTTCATGTATACCTAAGCCAAATAAAAACAGAACCCTTTAAAAAAACTGGACACCAATAACTTTATTGAATTCACTGTATAAAATAGTAAGCACATGTATTTCTAATCGTTTAAAAACAACCTTGTATTCTCTTATACATGAAAATCAGACTGGACTTATACCTGGTAAAAATATAAGTGAAAACACAAGATTACTGTATGACATTATGTTTGTGACAAAAAGAAGAGACATTCCAGGTGAATTAATTTTGATTGATTTTGAAAAGGCGTTTGATACTGTCTCTAAAGAATTTATCAATTTGGTATTAAAAATGTTTGGTTTTGGTCCCCAAATTATTAGCTGGATAAATATCCTAACCTATAATACAACTTCTTGTGTTATACAAAATGGACATTTCTCAGAATTCTTTTCAAATGATCGGGGCTGTAGACAAGGGGATCCACTATCACCATATCTTTTCCTTTTGTAGCTGAAATCCTTGGATGCATGATAATGAAAATGAAAATACCAAAGGTATAGTAATTGATGATACGGAGTATAAATTAGGACAATTATGCAGATGATACTGAGTTGTTTTTAGATGGTACAGTAAAATGTCTTTATGCTGCTATTGATATAATTAATACCTTCTATAAGAGGTGAGGTGAGGTGAGGTGAAATTGGGTTTAACGTCGTGCTTGCGAATATTTCGCTCATATGACGACGTGCATGCGTGTGTATGTGTATGTGCGGCTGCTTGTACTAGCCCAGACTGAAGCTGGTTTTATAGTGCTAACCCTCTGAGATACCATGCCGCAGTGAAGCATGAATACCCCACTCAGACACATTATACTGACGGACCACTACACCACGGAGGCGGTCACCTTCAATAAGATATCAGGACTAAAAATATATATTGATAAGACTAAAGCAATCGGGATTGGATCAAAAGCAGGTTGTGGAGATAATCTATGTCAGGATTTGAATATTGAATGGCGAAAAACTGAATTTGATGTTCTGGGAATTAAATTTAATGCTGAACTGAAAGATCTATGGCTCATCAATACAAAGATAAAACTAGAGGAAATTAACAGATTCTTGGCAGTATGGAGAAAAAGACATTTAACACTTATCTGCAAAATCACGGTTATCA